AGTGAGCTGAGATCCGGCCACTGCACTCCAGCCTGGGCGACACAGTGAGACTCCATCTCAAAAAAAAAAAAAAAAAAAAAAAGAACATTTTGGATGGCGTTTTCTTTCTACTTTTTTTAAATTACAGAAATATTTATTATAAGAAGGACTGCAAGTGATGCATAAGAAATTAAACAAGTGACAACTCCTCTCATCCCAAAGAAATAAGTTTGATGCATATTACTCACTTATGTAGTTATTTTGGTTTTTGTTTGTTTAATGAGATATTATGCCTGTGATTCTGTAACTTTCTTTTTGCATTTAACAATGTAAAATATCATTTCAGTCCAGGCGCGGTGGCTCACACCTGTAATCCCAGCATTTTGGGAGGCCAAGGCAGGCAGATCACTTGAGGCCAGGAGCTTGAGACCAGCCTGGTCAACATGGCGAAACCCTGTCTCTACTACAAATACAAAAATTAGCTGGGCGTCGTGGCACACGCCTCTAATCCTAGCTACTCGGGAGGCTGAAGCAGAGAATTTGCTTGAACCTGGGAGGCGGAGGCTACGGTGAGCCAAGATCATGCCACTGCACTCCAGTCTGGGCAACAGACCAAGACTCTGTCTCAAAAAAAGTTGGATTTATTTTTTGGTGTATTAGTGAGGATTTTCTGTTTCCCAGAATGTCTCTATAGGGCACCAATTCTGGGTCAGTTATCTGCTTTTTGGTTACTGACCATGCAAATAATGCTTCCCTGCCCCGTCCTCCCCCATCCCCCAGTGAATATTTATTGAGCATCTGCAGTATCTAGGTTACCATGCTGGGCACTAGGGCAGAATGAAATTCTCTTATTTTAAAATGTATTTTACTTTATTTTTAAAACTTTTTTGTAGAGATGGAGTCTCACTGTTTTTTTTTTTGTTTTTGATTTTGCTTTGAGACAGAGCCTTGCTCTGTTGCCCTGGCTGGAGTGCAGCGGCACAATCACAGCTAACTGCAGCCTCAACCTTCTGGGCTCAAGAAATTCTTCCACCTCGGCCTCCTGAGTATCTGGGACTACAGGGGCATATCACCACTCCCGACTAATTTTTTATTTTTTATTTTTGCAGAGACAGGGTTTTGCCATGTTGTCCAGGCTGGTCTCTAACATCTGAGATCAAGTGATCTGCCCTGCCTCAGTCTCCCAAAGTGCTGGGATGACAGGCGTGAACCACCACGCCTGGCTTTATTTTTAAATATGATGCTTATTTAGCTAATATTCATTTTCCTGTTTTTCAGAACTTTGGAATTACCTTTACAAGGTATAGCCTTTTCCAAAAACTTTTGTGTACTCTTTAAATACCATATAATAGCTAAATGATAGTTGTTGAGTTATAAAACTTTGCAGGTTTTCTCTTGGAAATGGTTTATTTCAGGAATATAAGACTAACATTGCAAATTTTATATTTAAGTTATCAAAATACATATTGGAGCTTTATTATAAATATTTGAAATTAAGCTTTTTGATACGTCTTTTAAATTGTGCTTTGTTATCTATTGATGTGGGGAATAACTGAACTATTTCTGGTCAATTATTTATTCTGGATAATCAAGATTGCTTATCTATGCTACAGTTTGAAAGGTTTAGATATTTCCTACAGGCTAGTTCCTACAGGCTCTTAAAAGGGAATCTTCATTTGTACTGTATTAGAAGAAAACCCATTACTTACTTTACTTACCACATGATGGCAGTCTTGCCTCTTAAATGAGGGGAAAGGCAGCCATTGAAGTTGATGGAAACTTAGATTTTCAGCATGATTGTTGCCAAAAACCTAAATTTTGGTAATCTTCAACTTGGAAGCAAGTTGTTTTTAAGTTTCATTTGTAAGTCAACTGTTTGTTGCTTGGAATACATTTTCCATGGAACAATGCTAAAAATGATGGGCGGTTTTCTAAATTAGCCTACAGAAACTTTTAAAGTCTCAGTTTTTCCCTCCACTTATTTTAAATTTTATACACTTTTTTTTTTTTACTATCTTTACAATTGTGATAAAGTACATGTAAATATAAATATAAAGATAACCAAACTTATCATTTTAGCTACTTTCAAGTGTAGAGTTCTGCAGCATCAAATATACGAATTGTTAATGCAGTAATAACCAGTATTTTCAAAATTTTCATCACCCAAACAGTAGCTATGTACCCATTAAGCAATAGCTCTCCCGGCATTCTCTGATAATCCCTGATTTACTTTCTGTCTCTTTTAATTTGCCTATTCTAGATATTTCATATAAGTGGAGGTCGGGTGTGGTGGCTCACGTCTGTAATCCCATCACTTTGGGAGGATCATCTGAGCTCAGGAGTTTGAGATCAACCTGGGCAACATGATGAAACCCCATCTCTACTAAAAATACTAAAAAATTAGTTAGGCGTGGTGGTGTGCACCTGTAATCCCAGCTACTGGAGGCTGAGGCAGGAGAATCACTTGAACCTGGGAGGCAGAGGTTGCAGTGAGCTGAGATCGCACCACTGCACTCCAGTATGGGCAACAGAGCAAGACTCTGTCTCACAAAACAAAACAAAACGCATAAAAGTGGGCCAGGCGCGGTGGCTCACGCCTGTAATCTCAGCACTTTGGGAGGCTAAGGCAGGTGGATCATGAGGTCAGAAAATCGAGACCGTCCTGGCCAACATGGTGAAACCCCATCTCTTCTAAAAATACAAAAATTAGCTGGGTGTGGTGGTGGGTGCCTGTAGTCCCAGCTACTCAGGAGGCTGAGGCAGGAGAAACGCTTGAACCCAGGAAGTGGAGGTTGCAGTGAGCTGAGATCACACCACTGCACTCCAGCCTGGGCGACACAGTGAGACTCCATCTCAAAAAAAAAAAAAAAAAAAAAAAAGAACATTTTGGATGGCGTTTTCTTTCTACTTTTTTTAAATTACAGAAATATTTATTATAAGAAGGACTGCAA